AAGAGAGGAGAGCTGGGGAGACTATGATAATGTTGGAGCTGCCCTTAAGCTTGGCCCTGGGTGTGCATGTGCGTGAACAGAGGAGATAAAAAGGGGGTAAAGGAAAGGGAGATGTGAGGGGGAAGCTGGGGTCGTGCTCCAGTGCGGCCCTGGGCAGCGTCTGCGTTAAAAGGGGAGATAAAAAGGGGGGCAAAGGAAAGGGGGACGTGAGGGGGGAAGCCAGGGCCCGGCTCAGGTGCGGCCTTGGGCATGCGTGTGCGTGAAAAGGGGAGATACAAAGGGGGCAGAGGAAAAGGAGACACGCTAGGGAAGCCAGGGTCGTGCTCATGTGCGGCCTTAGGCATGCGTGTGAGTGAAAATGGCAGATAAAAAGGGGTCAAAGGAAAGGGAGACTTGAGGGGGAAGTCGGGGCCGTGCTCAAGTGCAGCCCTGGGCGTGCGTGGAAGAGGGGCATGTAGAGAGGAATGAGTGAGAGGAGTGTATTGGAGAGAGGGGCGTGTAGAGAGAGGGTGGATAGGGAGTTAGGGGATAAGGGCGGATGGGGAGTTAGGGGATAAGGGCAGAGAGAGAGAGAGAGAGAGAATTTAGGGAAAGAGATTGAGTTGAGAGATTGGTGGCGTGGAGGAGAGAGTGAATGGGCAAACTAAGAGAGAATGGTGATGACATGCATGCGCCTAGGTGCATGCGTGGCATCTTGACAAAGGAAGAGAGAAGGGAGGTGATCTAGGGGCATTTTCTCTCTCTAGAAAATGTTTCTCTCTCCTCTCATCGTGGTCTTAAACTTGCAAGCAAAGTAAAAGCACAAGCACGAATTTTACTCCAAATGCTCAAGAACTCTTGCAAAAATGACCAAGGGTTTTTCAAACCCCCTTACAAATGACGTAAACTTCCTTATATAGAACAACCACAAACAAGGGTGGGTTCCTCAAAACTACGCCAAATTGTAGAAAATTACATATTAAATGAATTAAAATAAAATCCCGTTTTTAGACCAAATGACCCAAATACCCCTTAGTTCTTTTGAACAAATGACAAAACCATCCCTTCATGAGGGGCCTCTTGTCATTGCTAGACTTCGAGATCTTTTTTAGACGCTTGCGGCGGTAATTGGGGCGATCAATCGTCATAGAATCGATGTTTGATCTATCACAAACATTTTGATGCCCTTTGATCCTGTTGACATGGATTTTTCATGAAGGACCAAAAATCCGGCGAAGTCCATAAACTTCGACCACCAATCCGGTAGGATCCATGACGTTTCGAGTCCTCATTTCGATCACAAATTGAAGAGGACATCGTCACGATCATTTTGCACTAAATTTCATCCAATATGGTTTCCGTTTAAGCATATTTCAAATTTGGGAAGTCTCTGGAAAATGGGATTCCGGCGACCAGAAAATCTTGCCTTTTTCAACCTCAAAATTCACATTATATGGCCTCCAATTGTGCGCAAAAACTTTACCAAATCATAGCCCTTCGCGATACGTTCACAACGGACCTATATTTGCAACGATCCGACATCGGGATCTCAAGTTATGACTTCACGCAGTTTGGGATGTCCTCTTGTATAAAATCTGATTTTTAAGCTTTCGAGCTCATGTTCTCTCTAGAAATTCTCTCGTTACGGGCCACGTCATGATGCGTGCCATATTTCAAAGCAACCGTGTCGTCGAGACCTAGCTTGTGTCAAAATTTGAGCTTTTTCCGACTCAAAACGAGCAAGTTATGAGCATTTGAAAATCATCTCGAAATGGGAAAACACAGTTTCCATTTATAATGGAAACTAGTTCACTGAAGCTGCACCGCAATAGTGTAAAACCCATTATTTTATAGTAATTTGGGCCCATAATGGTCCTGAAAGGTCTGATTGAGCCACAATTTGGTCCCTGGGGGTTTTTCGATGTTTTGGAACTAATGGCAGTGGTCTGGTACTGTTTTGAGGCCCCAAAAATGCGGTTGTAGTTATATGGTCCTTTTTCAACATAATAGGAACTGGATTTGATAACCGAGTTTCGTCCTGGTCATATCAAAACTTATCGGAATGTGACAAAACTTTGTGAGTATCTTTCGAGCATCCCAAATGACCTTTTTCATGCCTTTTGAAGCCGTTCTAGTACTTTTTCAGAGGTTGCCCAGTTTTAGGCTTATTTTGCAGTGTTCCCATGGTCTGGCGGTGTCTTGGGTACCGATAGGACCAGGTTGTTATTGGCTCTCTCCTTATACATCTCGGCGATACAAGTACGTCAAAAATGACGTATAACACTGAGCTAAGTTATTTTAATGTTGAATTGATTGTACACTGAATGTGTCTAAGAATATTATTATTATTAGGATTTCTTGCCACCATAGCCACGATTGCCTCTTAGTTGTGTTTTTCACCTTCCTGTACAACTTCCTTATTTAATGAAGTTCAAAACTCTAGAAAGTAAATCTTATTATGATCATACATGTGATCACATGGCTTGGCATGCCTAACCACTTCCTCTTATTGCTGTCATCATCATCATCATCATAGCCTTTTTTCAACTAATTGGGATTGGCTACACGAATCCTGGTCTGCCATTCTGCTCTATTGAGGGTCATACCTTCACCGAGGCCATAAGTATGTCATTCTGCTCTATTAAGGGCCACTTCCTCTTATTGTTGTGTTCACTGTAAAAATTTACTCGAATTTTTTAAATTCTTGACAATATATTACTAATAGAAATAATGTACAAGGGTCCTCATGAGAAGTGACATGAAGTATGTTGATTATAATTTCATTTTTTACTTGTTAAAACCTTGACAGTCATGGTACTAACCCTGCCTAAAGGATTTGTCCTTGCTTTTTCTTGGTCCTTACTCATTTCTTAGAATGTTTTATGCTACATCTAGTGGTACTCACGGTATACTTGCTGTGGCCACTTTCACCTCAAGCTTTGCATCCATGTGACAATCCTCTATTCCAAGTTTCTGGTTAAGTGTGGACACTGTCACTTACCAAAAGAAAGAAATGAAAATGGTGTACTTTTGTTATTATAAGATTTTTTCTTTCCTTTTATGCTGTATAGAAGGGGGTATGTGTTTCAATGTCAATCACAGTTACAAGGTGTCACATTCCTCATACCATGAGAAACTGGATTTGGCAGCACACTTGTTTAATGAAGAGACAACCAAATCCATCAACATTTTACTAATATTCCATTTCATGACCAGGACCCAAAAAAAAATAAAAATAAAAAATATACCTTTGTTGGCTGAATCCTTAGGTTTACTCAATGTTCCATAGATATTCTCATAGTTCATCTGTGTCTACTCTAAACAAAAAGAAATTTAAGTCTCTAAAAATTATGTAACAAATAGTTAGTAAACAAGAAGAAGAATGTTTGTCAACTTGTGTGTTGATGCATCTCCAACATGGGTTTGGCACCCAAATAGAAGAATCCATGTAATGCACTGTTAGTGACTATCATTTTTCTTGTGTATTACCATACTTGTTTTAAACGCTTGTGAATTCTAAATCAATTTAGGAATTGGGGTCGTGGAACCATGGGCAACTAGAAGATTCATGTTGCCACAATCGCTGTTCGTACAGGGCATATTGTAGGAAATGAGATTCCTACTTTATTTGAATTGAGTTTTAACCCTAATGTAGATTTCTATATCTTTGGAATCGAGTTTCAACCCAATTGGAATTGCCACTCATACCATTTTGGAATCAAGTTTCAATCCAACTTAAATCAAGATTTAGAACATTTTCGAATAGAGTTTCAACCCACTTGGAATCGAGATTCCCTTCTTTTTTTTTTGGTAAATAGAATTGAGATTCCTACCTCAATGGAATTGAGTTTCAACACAATGGGAATCGAGATTCCTATATCTATGGTATCATGCACCCAAAACATAGAACCGCAACAGAAATCAATAGGACACATTTTTCATAGGGAAAAGGTTTGAAGTTCTAGTGTAAGCTTGTGCAAGAATCTCTTAGTATTGGAATCGATGTATTGAGCATTGCCTAGATATGGTTCCTCAAGTATTGACATCAAGGTCCTCAAAATTCCTAAAGACTTAAACAAAAGTTTAATCACAATAATGGAATTAAGGTTGAGTAGCCATAATACTAGCTTCGAGGTTTTTTGAGGTTCTAGATTGAATCAAGAAGGAACTTTCTAAATAATGAAATTAAAAAAAGAAAAGGAAAAAAGAAAAGAAAAAGATAAAGTACAGTTAATAGACACTCATAGTAAACTAGGGAATACGTGACGGTGTTTACAAAACATATGGATATTATGTATAATTGAAACTGAGACTTTGATTTGACATATATAGTTGAAAATGGGAATTTGTTTCATCATTGTGGTGCTCTCTATTGTTATCTGAATCGAACCTAAATCATCATCATTAGAGCCTTTTTTCCTACTATTTTGGGTTGGCAATACAAATCATGTACCGCCATTCTGCTCTATCAAGGGCCGTACCTTCAGTGAGAATCAAACCTAAATCTCTTTCCCAATTATCTTTAGGAAATAGCTACCAAGTTCTAGCACTATCAGATTAAGGGTTCTTGCACCTACATATCACATTGCTTGATGTTGTGGAATCTGGATCCCAGAAATATCCAATCGAGATTCAACTAATGTGGAGTCGAAATTGAATAAATGCTGGAATTGAGATTCAGAAATGTGGAATCAAGATTCCTAAAATTCGGAATCAAGATTCCTGGCTTCAAGGAAATGGGTTCCATGAAGATATCTTGAAGGAATCATTGAATCGGGATTCCGAAGTGAAATCCCCACTTGGGTGAGACATTCTGGTAACTATGTTTGTATACTAAATGATTTGTTTTTCCATGCTTCATTGGCCCCATATCTTGATGTGTGACTCATGGCACTGGTTTCTGTTCCAACTTCCATGTGGAATGAAAATGTCTTTCATCATCTTTATAATTAAGTTTCACCAAGATCCTTCTTGTGATTCATATTTAAGTTCTGCTAAGCTCCTTTTGGTTATGAGAGCAGGTTGTTAAAAAAGTAGACATTTGTGTCCAATCAAAGGAGGACTCTTGGGCTGTGAAGCTTATGAATTTTGTTTTTGGATCGAAACAACTGTTGTCTGAAGGATTGACACGTGAGCTCCCAGTGTACGTTGCTTTTCTTTTGTTGTTCATTATGCGTTTCATCAGTTCTCATAATGTGGTACAGTGGATAATAGCTGTTTAATTATACCTGATCTCTATTTATCAATTATTTGTTACTCATTACCTTGGTGGTTACTTAGTAATTATGAGCAAACCATGCTTATGAGCTTGCTACACATTTTATGGAGCAACAACCCATTACTTACAATTATCATCCAATATAGTTAAGTCTTTTTGCTCTACAAGTTCAGGCTGATTATATTGGCTTCTGTCAGAATGATGTACATAGTGGCTGCCTTTTTTCCTAAAATTTGTGTTCTTTTGTATGCTTATGATACACTATTCTATTTTTTGATAAATTTCACTTGTCCTATTGTATTATTTCGTTGCTATCCTTCATTCTTCAGTCCTATTTAGGTTTTAAGGGAGCTTACCACTATTCATATTGATATTCTCAATTTGTAGACTTTGTAAGCCATTGCATGCAATATTAACATGCTTAATGTATAACGTAGATAGGACTGTATGGTTTATGTCCCGAATAATGTATTACCTAATATTTGCACTGGAATTTTGTGTATGATATGCTAGTTATGTAAAGTTATTATTCCATGACAATTTATTTCCGTAGAAATTTGCATGGTTTCCATATTGGGATATTATATTTTATTGAGGGTTCCATATGCCTTGTGGTCAATGCTATATTGTAATGAGTGTGTGGTACTATATTGAGGGTTCTATGTGGCATGTGGTCAATGCTATATTGTAATGGGTGTGTGGTACTATGTAAAAAGACAACTACGAACCATCTGTATGGTTTCCAGGTTAAGTGACAGGACTTGTTCTCCTCTATTTATTCCTTTATTGCAATCAAGAAATAAATTTTCCATCGACAATGTTCATAAGAAAGCTAGAGCTAGACTTTCTTGAACGGAAAGGTTCTTAAATGACCCTACACCTCAATATGAAAGCATGGGATGAGAAAATCACCAACTTCAATACGAGAGCATGCGATGAAAAAATCAACAACGTACCAAGTATAAAGTTGAGCGGTAGAAAGTGTCCATTCTTCATGTTGAATTAAAGGAGCCATGAGTATTAGCCCTGATCCATGCATCTAGAGGAGGGGACCGCCTTCATGGATATTTGTGGGCTTTGAAGGATTCGGTTTAATGTTCCAACACTTGAGGACTTCTTGCTTACAGCTATTGGTTGGGCCTGAATGCCACTTACTTCATCCTGCATCCCGAAGTTAAGAAGTTTATCCAACTTGAAGCATTCCTACCTGAGGCTTCTGAACTCTCACTTGATAATGAGCCCTAGTTTGTTAGAAGCTGGTGAAAGTGTTAATAAATTATGTAGAACATTGAATAACACAGTGCAATTAGTGTTATCTTCATCTTGTCAGATTAATTTATAGGCAAACTAACCCTGCCTTGCAAAACGGTTGCACATGAGTTTATTTCCCCCCTTAAAGCAAGCTATTAAACATTTTTTGGGCTTTGGCTTACTTTCTGGACCTTGTCAACCAAGAAACTTGAGTACCTTGATTATCCAAGGAGCTATGAGATTTGCCTCCTGAAAAATGCTCCATTCCATTGGGGGTGCTTGATGAGAGTATCATCCTTGTTGCTTATTGCAGTGATCAATGTCCTTAATTGTACTTCTGTTCCATCTAGCCAATCCGAAGCCATAAATTAAGTCATGTATTTTAGAATTTGGTTGTTTCATATTTTCTCTAGTACCTCGTGATCGGGATGATGGTGATTAGTATGAATAATGTCATTCATTTTGGTATTAGATTGTTATGTTTCTGTGTATGTAATTTTTTATTCTCCTATGGATGTCATTACAGGGATCAATTCCATTTCTAGTTAATGAATTGTGCAATGACTGTGTAGCACTCAGACAAGAACTAGACTCTCAATATATCAAATGTTTCTCGATAATTTCATCAAAATAAGTATTATAATCATTAAATTTATTCCACAAACCCAAACAATTCAATATTAAAAGACCTTCTATGAATTTATTATAATTTTTCCACGTACCATAGGTCAGAACCGGTAGGAATTTGTCCCCAGTTGTCGATCCAAACCGCTTCAGCCAGTGCCTGCTTCGGAACTTGAATCCCGGTATTAAAGCAGTACCATTTATATGGCCACCTCAAAGAGCTTCGGATTACAGGTGCTCTCGAGCTGCCCATTTTGTTTACATCTACTTGGCTTGGGTGAGTAGAGTACCCCTGATTGGGCTTTTCAATACACTACAAAGAACTTGAACAAAAATACGGCAGAGAAGCATATGATTTCTTGTTTTGTTTTGTATATCGATACAAGGGATTGACTTATATCTTTTTGTTGGCCTTCTTTGTGGCTCAAAACAAGCTGGATTTTCGACCTTCCTCTCAGTTAAATCTTGGTTTCAAGGTCTGAATTCTCAGGTTAAGGTTTCTTAATACCTGTTGTTCTCTCTCATTCTCAGATTAGCTCTATTTTAATTCTCAAGTTTGGAAGAGTTTCCCCTTTTTCTTTCTTCTCTCCTTTCTCTCTCTTGATCCCCTTATATGCATCTTCTACTCTCTCTCTCTCAAATGGCCAAGGTAATGGGGTATTATAGCCCAAGAGGGGTGGATTAGGTTACTTGCTGCCCTTGATATCCGAAGGGAAAATTTGGAAGGAAATTAGCGCAGATTGTCCATGGAATTATGTACTATGATGTACGAAGGGAAATTTTGGAAGGAAATTAGGGCAGATTGCCCAAGGAATTATGTGGGACAGGTGGCATTTCAAACCACTGATGCTGGTATTCCAAATTGGGATGCTTTTCTCACCCAATTTGATGCATTATTTGGCTCTGTGCCAATTTTCCTTTTGTTGGATGATGAACATTATCCTTCAAATTTCAGCTCAAAGACCAAGGACGAGGGAGAAATCAAGAAAGAAGGCTCGGGCTCCTGCAGTCTGATGCAGGCAGCAGGCTCTTTTCATCGTGTGATTTCATCTTTAATTCACCTTCAAGTCTTGTAGTGATTCTCCTAAACAAGTATGTGATCTTGTAGGGCAGTGAAAGAGGATCAATCCATCCAAATTTTACCTCAAAAGGCTTTAAAAATAAATGAGAAATTGAGGACCAACAGTGGAGGTCATGTGGGCTGCTGTTGAACAGAGAGCTTGTCAATCCACTGACAATGAACTATTTGAGGTCTTGATTTTTGTCTCTTCGAAAATTGGGTCAAGATTCCAAATGTTGGAGTGGAGGTCTGAAACTATCTAGATTAGAAATCCACCAAATTTCATCCTAATCAGAGATCATTTGATATTCAGGAGCACTTATCTAGGGTACTTTAGCTTGGGAATAAAGTCTGTTGAACAATATGATTAATGTTTTTTCTCAATTCAAGAAACAAAGTATCATTAAATAAAAAGAATCCCATTTTTAAATATTTTTGAATTTTTGTTATCATCAGAGTGTTTAGTAAGTGAGGAATGAAACTGAAAAAAAAAAAAAGGAAATAGTCATCAGGCCCAAAAGAAGTTCTAGTATTGTTGAAAATTATGGTGATTCAGAAACAACTTAAATACATTAGGGATCCACTATCCTATTGTAAATGAATCTTGAAATGTGTTGTGATCTTCGATACCAATGTAAAAGAAACCTGATTTTAAGTTGGTGGAGGCCCGATTCCGCATACTCATTAACCCATGATTTGGATGGGAGAGATCTGGATCCCATTAACTAGGAATTTAGATCATCAATTTTGCAAATCGAGATCTTTAAATTCAAAAAATGTCTGAATACAAAATTCCTTGTCTTGGAGCGTAGGATCGAGCTTCTGGAGCTAGAGCAACCACCTTCTTAGGCGGTCCCATTAACTCTGCTGAAAACCCCAAGGAAATTGTGCACTAAAACTACAAACACAACATTATTTAAAGAAATCTGAGGCTGTTTTTGACGAAAATAAAATCTAAGATTAAAAATATTCAAAGTCTATACAACAAATGCGAAAAAGATGACATACCTGTTCTAGATCATTGATAACACAATGTAAACATAAAATCACAATGAAATAGTGGCTAAAATATAAAAAATCTAGAGATCCGAGCTTGGTTTTTTCACAATGATACGTGGATTCTTCTATTTGGGTGCCCTACCTTATCGGATACTTATTAGCACACGTACTGATAGAGATTCTTTTGGATTCTTCTTTTTATTTATTAATGATTGGTTATACCATTTTAAAGATTTGATCCTCATTTTGGTTTTGTGTAAACACAAGTGAACCCTGAAAGTGTAAGAAAATTCCATAATATTAAGGTAAAATTTTGTAAATATCCGTTTGGTTTTCTGTTTTTACGAACTAATAGTTTCCGTATGTCTGTTTTTTCAACTTCGTAACACTTTCTTTTTAAAATGGCGAAACTACCCATTTTCGGTTTTTCAAATACCGAAATGGTGTATTCGGTTTTTGAAAAACCGAAATTGGTGGTTTTTTGCAGAAATTTGGATGGGATGCTGAGAAGAAGCCTAGAAATCGTTTAGGCTGAGAAGAAGCATAGAAGTTGCAGCAAGTTAGGCTGAAAAACCAGAGAGTTCAACTAAATCTCTCTTTCTTTCTTTCTTTTTTTTTATTAATTCTAAAAGGTTAAAGGAGCTTGGTTAACAAGCATGGAATTTAGGCTCTGATAAGAAGCATGGAGATTGCAGCAATTTGAGTCTGAAAAACTAGAAAATTCAGCAAGATTCTCTTCTTTTTCTTTTGCAGAGTTAAAAAAAGCTATTTGGTTGTTTGGAGTTAAGACTGAGAAACAAAAGCACATGAATTCAAGAACTAAGAGTGAGAGTGGGAGAACAAGGACTAGAATATGCCTATGAATTTCAAACAAAGAGTGAGAAAATAGGGAGAAAACAGAGAGCAACTGACCTCTAAGAACCTGGTTTCTTTCTCCAATCGCATGAGTTCTGCAATTATGCGATTCTTCCCCTCGAGTCAGCAGCCATGGAAGACAGTTAAAGCTCCTTCGATGCTTTGCATCACAAAAATAATTCCCAGGGAGACAAATCTTCAATGCCGAAGAAGTAGGAGAAGTTGCAGCCGCTGATTTTTGGGCTAAAGAAACCCTAGGTTAAACTCCATGAGATTAAAATAGGACTAATCTTCGTAAAAAGGGAAAAAGGTTTTACATAAACTTGTTTATTTTATAGAAACACAAATTCAGCAAAAATCGAATTTAGTTGATTTTCAGTTTTTCTCTAGACTTTTGGCCGTGTTTCTCTATATGAAACTTTTGAAATTCTCGCTATAAATTTGGTTTTTCAAAAACTAAAATCACGCCAATTTCGGTTTTTGAAAAACCAAAAATGGGGAAAACAGTCTTTTTTTAAAAAAAATTGTTATGAAGTTCAAAAAACAGACATATTTGTAAGAAAATATTCCAAGAAAATATTCTGATCCAAAAACTATTGTTCTAGATTTAATAAGGGGCTCAAAAACAAAATTTTCAGAAAACATTTGTGTAAAATGGCTGAGAAATGAAGGAGAATGATAACAAGCAGATTGGTCAAACAAGGGCTGAAAAAGTTAACAGGCTGAGGAATCGCCCAATTTTTTGAAACTTCATGATTCCCTAGTTTTTTGATAGAATCACCCAGTTTTTAATAGTGGGAAATTGTAAATAACGTGAGACAATTCTTGCTTTCGTAAAGGACCCGATGCTCCTTGAATGATTCTGTGACGAACTGGGTGATTCCTGTCCGAACCAACAATTACACTGTTAGGTATGTAACAGTTTGGAAACACCGATGTTGAAAAACTCGATGATTCAAACTGGAATCACCCAGTTCAAAATGAATCGATCAGTAACTATCTTGAATCCCTTATGGAAAACTAGAAATTAACTCGGTTTTCATTGAATCACCTATTTCACAAAAATCAGGAATCGCCTAATTTTTAGAAAATTGGGTGATTATTCTGAAAATCATGTTCATGCCTTTTGAACCCTTTTTTTGCCTGATCCCCCTTTCTTGCCCATTTCCTTCATTTCTCAGCTGTTCTCTACGAGATTCGTTTTTTTGTTTTTGAGCCCTCTATCAGATTTGCAACACTATTTTTTGGATTAGAGCACTTTTCGATGAGATCTAGAGATCTAAACTAGGTCTGTTTTAGAATATTTGGATTTTTCAGTTTCCATCCACGATTTTGGTGGGGATTTTCTATAGACTATGTTAGCAACAATCTGAAACAGGAATTTGAACATTTCTGGTAATATTTGTGTAGATTTCAATTTTTCATGCTCTTTTTTATTTTTTTTGCAAAAATAGCTTCAAATGCTATGAAATAATGCGATATTTTGAAGTTTCAATGTTCAATTTTGTTAGGGTTTTATGTTTGGACACTGTTAGGCATGATCTAAGACACTTTTTTATCATTTCACCTCATGTTTGTATAGGTTTTGGTTTTTCATGATTCTTTTTTTTTTTTGACAAATAATAGTGTCAGGTTTTCCCAAAAACTGCTAATATCTAGATGTGTTTAGGGCATAATGCCAGATCTCGCCGTTATTTTCTGATAAACAGCTAGATCATGCAGTTTTTCAAAGTGCATGATTATTTATTCGTGATTTATCAGGAAATATTTATTTTCTGTGATTTGTTTTTCAGTTTCCTTTGTTTTTTTTTTTGTTGTTGTTGCTGTGTTATTATTAGCCTCCATTATTTTGTTCATAATTTTCATGATTTGTTATTGTCAAGTTACTATTTGCTGAATTTTGATAGTTAAAAATTTCTTGGTGATTTTATAATTTTTTCAAATTTTGAATCGCTGACTGCTGATTTTAAACTCTGAAACTTATGATCCAACTTTTTAATCTGTTTTGGTTGACACAGTATTAATGCCTGAAACATTGGTTTCCTTTTTCCTTTTTCTTTTTTTTGGTGGATAATAATGCTTTCCAATTTTATTTTCAAAGCAATTAGGTGCTTGTTTTTATCATTGAGATGTTATTAATTTTGTTTTTATCTCTAATAAAGGTTTAGCATGTCACATCTCAGAAAGGATCCTGCATTGCATCACTGAATTTTAGCACATCCTGATAGAAAGGAAAACTTATTTGTAATTATCTTGGGAAGACAGTAGTGTTATTCAGCAGTTTAAGTAACATGTTGGAGAGGTTAAAGGTGACGTTTCATTATGTTCCACAGTGCCTAAGAATTTGAGGGAGTAGATGTTGGCTTTCTTAATGCCAACAATAACAAAGAGGCTGCCAGATTGTCAAGGAGATTGCAATTTATTCTATGGAGCTAATTTTTGTTTTTTTTTATTGCTGTCTTTTTTTTTTTTTTTTGGTTTTCTTCTTTTCCTTTTTTCTTTTTTTGGTATTTTTTTGTTTGTTGGGGGTGGGGGGTGGGGGTGGGGGAGGGTGGGGTTGGTTGAGGGGTGGATGAGGATGAGGAGTTTCAAACCCAACTCGAGCTTGCGACAAGGACCAGTTTTGAGGATCTGTACAGTTGGCAGAGCTGTATGAGGAGGAATCGACTGGCAGCCTCAGGGGCCAATACTAGTCGCAATGGGGGGCCCTTGGGGGTTGGGGCGAGCCTTGAGGCATGTGGCAGGGGACTTTGGATAATGTGCCCCTGGTTTTAGGAACAAGTTTTGTGGAGAGGAGGCGAGGAGCATAACCTAAGAAAAATAAAGTAATGAAAGACTAAACTACCTCTAAATTCTCTATAACCCCAAAAGGCATAAATACCCTTAATTAAATAAACTTTAAAGACAAATAACCTTAGCACTCTCAAAAAAATAAAAAAGTTAAAGCCCTAATGCCATGCTGCCCTTGGCAGGTGGTCTCTTTCCATCTCTTTATCAATTTTTCGAGTGGGAGCATGGCCATCTGAAATAAATGAGAAAAGCAAAAGATAAACTAGCTACCCATTGCGCCTGCACAGTGTGCGCCGGTCACGGCACTTGTGCTATACGTCAAAGAGGTTCTTGGCACAATCGTCATTAAAGTTATTTCTCTTGTCCTGGATCTTAAAGGCTGGCACCCTGCTTTCTATGTGTTCTTTAGGTGCAGGGCATAAATACAGTTGGCTACTTACTCTCTTTAGCCAGCATTTTGCCCTTAATTATGATGGAAAGGATCATAGGCATACAAGATGTCTTTATACGTCTCATTGTCTGGATGCATTTTTCCTTTATTATAATTTGTATCATACCCTCAAACTTAACCTTTTCTCGCGCTTCTGTCCTTGTCCATTTTGTTGAAGGCTCTCATGCGAGTTTCCATGCTTGTTTGCTATAATAAATGAAACAAAATTCATATGCTTTTATGTTCTCCTGGATTGTATCTAGTCATTATTTTCCATTTGATCACGCATTACTTTTCTTCTAGTGTATGATCTCCCCAACACCACAATCAGTTATGGCCACTAGCAATATTCTGTTGAATGCATCCTCACATTGTAGTCAATTTTATTATTTGCTGATATACCATGTCACTTTCTAGTATTGGGCTTGTGGAAGGTGTATGGATTGTTGGGGTGATTGATGAGGTCCAAATGCCTGTTACAGACAATGAGAAAAACCTTTCTTTGATTGATACAAAAACTCGCTCTCGTTCTACACTTCCCTCTGAAGCACAAAAGAGAAATGCAAGGTTTGTTCTTCACTCTTCCCCACTTACTTGCTATTTATGCAGTTGAAAAACTATGATTCCACTGAAGATATACTTTGATTGAGTGTGCTCTTTTGCTTTAACTTTTATGTGCTCCTTGTTGAATGCTTGCCTTTGTATGGTTATGTCTTGGATAAATTTTGGGCCATCTTAGTGGCGCATATGTGTTTCATGTGCATGCAAGCGCACATAATTAACAAGTGATGTGGGATTGTGTTCAAATGGCTCTCTAGAACTTTCTATAAGTACTTTTTGGGCTGATTTTCCTTTAACACATGGAATTATGAGAGAACTTATCAGCGTATCGAGCATATGAGTTATCCTCATTAGATCCAGAAATTTATCATGTAAGATATTATGTAATTCATTTGGCTTAGTAACATGAGATACTGCATAAACGGCTTGGTAATTGTACACTGGTTAACTTATCCATTAGCTATACAGGGTTCTCATTAGGTTATGGGATCTCATTGGCATATGAGCACTAAGTTATTTTCCAAATATCCTTTTTCTTTTTTTTTTTGGTTGGGGTGGGGGGATGGGGGTGGGGGTGGAGGGTAGTTATCCTTATTTTTGTTGTACTGACTACTGTGACACAAATGATAATTATAATCCTAAAGCAAGACCAGAACATGATTAGAAGTTTAATGACTTAAAGGCATGACAATTTTAAAATCCTCCTGGGTGTCAATCACGCACAATCTAGTAAGACGAAAATCCCTATTTCAAGCTTGAATTCAAACAAAAAAAGAAAAGAAGTTGTCTTTGACAATCATAAGGGCCCCTAACAAGTTATAGGTCCATTAATGGTATGTGAGAAGATTATCTTAACTATTCTAGTGACTTAGGACTTTGTCTTTGTCCGGTATGCTTTTCTCCATATTCAGAAACAAATTTTATTGGTTATGTTTATGTTTATATAAAATGTATGCAGATGCAAGTTTTTCTTGTCTGTACGTTCTATTAAAATATTCCTACAATTAACTTTAGAGACCCTGAACCCTAGGAATGGATGTTTGCTCTCTTGGAATGATAAGCACCAACTATGACTCTAATCCAAGAAAAGAGAATAAGATAGTAAAACAACATTGGCATAAATGAAACTTTTGTCAGAAGTTGGGAAGCATAGCTTACCTTGTATGCATACAGTGCGGAGATGTAGATTTCAAGATGCTCAAACTCTGAAAATTAATATTTCATGTGACTGTGGCTACAACTTATCTGTATATCCTCAATCATAGGTCCATGAGTATGTGGAATCAATGGAATTTCTGCTAGCATTCTTATGATAGATATTTAACTTGTAAGTGCCGCTGCTGCATTCTTCTTTTCTGTCTTTATGGAATGAGAGTGCCACAGGGAACTTTGAGAGGTGGCTGGTTATCTGGTAAGGTTGTTACCTCACTAGGATTAAGAATTGCTCTGGTTATGCCGCTTTGTCTGACCTCCATACACCTCTCTATTTCTGGATGTAGGTGTCCCAAATTTTTTTATTATTATTATAAATGTCTCCATCATTTAGAAGATTGAGAGCACCCAAAATGCTATCTTGCTGAAGGGATCATCTGAGGGTCACAAATTTAATATAGTTAATTGGGATACATTTTGTCCGCTGAAGAACTTCGGTCGCCTAGGGATGAGGCGATAATGTATGTCAATTCATTGTTTCCAGGCAAGTGCTTTGTGGCTTTCCAGTGAAAGGGTTAGTCAATTGTGGAAGAAGGTTATCGCCCATATATATGGTTAGTAGATTTGGATGGCTTATTAATCCACTTGGATCTGCCATGGTACCTTGGCGGCGTGGAAAAGGATCAATCCTGTCCCTGAAGAATTTGTAAATGAACATGAGGTTTCATGCGGGGTAGGGATGAAAATACGATTTTGGCAAGTCCTCTGGTTTGGTTCCAAAACTCTTGCTGACTTCCCTAACTTGCTGCACATTGCCAATGACCCAGACATCTATTCCAGGAGTGGTTAATCACCACAATGTCCAGTTGGGCTTTGGTGGCCAAATTTCGACTCTAAGATATTTTGAGGTGAGGGACAGGCTTAGCCTTTGTTGCCTGCAATTGCTGTTCTTTTGAAACCAAGGCTTGGATGACCTGATCTGGTGCACCATTTGTACAGGCTCTTTTTCAGTGAAATAATTTTACAATTCTCTCCCCAGATCCATATTGAGCCAAGTTCCCGTCCATGTACTTTGGAGTTTAAATGTTTTACAACCTACAAAACAGAGGACTCCTCATTCCTAATAAATGCATTGTGTAAGACACAGGTATAGACTGTTAATCAACCATTTGTACATTGCAATGTGGTCTCTGAATATTTGATTATTCTTTTTTCTGATCCAACAGTTTTAGTTGGGTTGCCTGGCCACAACGGAAGATTTGTTCAAGCAATGGTTCCTCCCCCCACTCCCCGCCCTCAAACAACTCCTGTCACCGCCATTTGCCTCATCCTTTGGTTTTTAGGCTAAGTGGCCATCCTCTTGCCAATTAGCTAGCTCGGAAATTATGAAACACTTAAGAGCAAATTTGGTTCTTCCTGAAGGATGGTCAATATCCCTGAGTATATCATGGACTTTGGTGAGGAAAGAACATTGGTGGATCTCAATGTTAGATTTGCTTGGGCTGGCAAAATGATCGGATTTGGCCTTCGCATCTACAGATCATTGATTAATATTCCACCACCCAGGCGGATCAACCTGAAATTTGATGGAACGAAATCCTGGATCTCAGGGGGTGTTCTTCATTCCCATTGGGGCAGTATTCTTCTTATGTCAGCTTTACATTGTGACTTGCAATTAATGTGGAAGCTCTTGCTCTCTTTACAACCATATGATGATACTCACCTCAATGAGGCCTCCAGATAATAGAAGCTGATCCATTCAACATGATCTTTTAGGAAAGAAAATAATCCTTTTGGCCCTGGAGATTGGATATTTTTTTTTTGACAAGATTTTCAGAAGATACAAATTTTGCTGTTTCTTTTTGCATAGATGGTGCGAATCAAATGCGTGACAGATTCAATTGTGAGAGGGGGTCTTACAGATCTATTTTTAGCTCCAAATTAATGCTAGGAATAACCCCCTTTCTTTCTCTTTTGATGTGTTTTCACCTTTCTGTTTGGTTTTAGAGATTGCATATATTGTAAATCTTATGCACATTAATAATTACTTTCTTACCATGAAAAAGGAAAAAATGGTGCCTCTTACAGATGGAAGTGAGATTTGGTTATCCATGCTAATTAACTTCTGTTGTCTAGTCTTTTTTCATCTACTATTGGATAGCTCGCTGCTAATTTGCTCGTGTTTGTGACTTTTATTTTGTTGAAGGGTTTGTGTTTGGTTTGAATAATTTCACTAGGTAGCCATTGAAGGAAGATTTCTGCTGCAAGTTTAGAGTACTTGTACAATTAGTTATATGCTGTCATCTGGTATTGTTTTGCACTTACGGATGTTTTAAGTGTATTACTGCATTTAAAGCATTTGTTGCAGTCACAGCCCCAGACAAAGGGCATTGCGTAATTGTGTTATTTTCTTGGTTTAGAATGGTGTTTTGGCAGAAGATACGAATTTATGTTTGGACTGATATGCCAAGTATAATGAGATAGATATTTTTTTCTTGTAACAGTTACATTTATGTACATCCTACGAAGCTACATCTCAAATATTGCTGTACACTAGGGTGGTCATATCATAGAGTCATCTCTCTGCTGACTGCTTGTTTGAAGCTTGCTAGATCTCTATATCTCTTTATTACTAGACCTAGTATTGCTCATGTCATGTGTATGGTTAAACAGTGAGCAGCAGGTCATTGAGGATGCCACGTACTGTTTTTGTTTGCTCTATACAATAGCCTCATTTGATTGTTTCCCCATACAGATGCTCTTCAGAAGTCACCGTCTCTACAAATCTCAGCATTTGTGCTTCCAGGCTTATTGGATAGCATAAAAATATTACATGACATGGCTCCCCTTTTGAATAATCCAATCTCCAGGGCCTACTTAGGAGATTGCATAGTTTCATGAACTTTTTTATCCTAGTATGAATTCGATTGTATCATAACACCCTGTGTTCTGCGACGAGCGGTTGGTTAGATAGGTATGAATCCTGTGCTTTATGAGCACAAGTGAAACTTACGTGGTCTATCCCTTCTAATTAAAATGTATTCTGCATCCGGGGTTATTACATGTCTATTAATTGTTCTCAACATCAACTTCTAAAGGAGCAAAATGGTAGCAGTAAACAAGATTTATTCTATGTTTAACAGAGAATAACAAATGTATCTTCAAATGATGTGAAAGCTCACTATATAGAAAAGGGAAAAGATGGATATGAAAGAATGGAGGTGGCAAGGGAGATTAGGGACCCAATCAGAAAGAAGATGATAGTGGGGAACAGTGAGGTACTGTGTAGGTGCTCAACGATTAGAAGAAACCTCCTATGATTAAGGGTTTGAGGGCAGAGCTATTGAGGATGTTCAAGCTCCTGCCAACCTCTTGAGATGGTTGCAACCACGGTTTGAGTGCTAATGCTCTGATGTGGCAATAATAGTGCAGTAAAAAGCTAGACCACGGTGGTAAATACAAATCAAAACGCTGAGCTATGATCATGGCACAAGTGCCAGCAATTGAGACATGACTACAGATCTTGTCATGTCATCAGAGGTTCAACATGGTTCACAGTAATGAAGGATATTCTGGGCGAGGATCCAATGTCTGCAAATGGTCTTTTCTGAATTTTATGTTTCTCTGTTGCCTCATTCTGTCTTTAACTGTGATGATTGCATGAGGGGAATTTTCAATTCACTTAATCTTTGTGCTTCGATGACCTCTTACCAGCTACCATTTGTTTGTGTGAAAATTTACCCGTGGAGATATATGTCTCCTGAAAAACTTGTGCGACCTCTTTCTTTTGAATTTGCAAGTCATGATCTCAAAGATGACATTGCCAGTCAACCTTAATTGGTGATTTTAGATCTATTTTTCATTTGGTATGCGTGAAAGTTATGATATTGCTTTCTGTTTTTCTAATTCAAAACCCTTTCCTTTTCACTTCTGCTTGGGAAACTCATCTACTGTGAAGGTTTTGAAACTTTTAATATCTTCTCAGGTTACAGCTTATGTGCTACAAGTGCTTGTGGGACAATCTAGTTGCTGATAAATTCCCAGCAGACCTGTTTTATGAGTTTTTCAGGCTGCGTCCACAACATATTTTGTCTAAAGATGTCAAGGAGTATGCTGGTAGTTTGAGGTTTGATGTAAAGGTACTGTTTGTCTATACACATTCAGTGATTTATTTATGGGGTATTAATGGATAGTAAGGACCCCTTAGTCAAATTTGAAACCCAGCTTGTCGTAGAACAAAAACTTGAAGCTAAAACAGAAGTCTCTAAATTTTGTGTTCCCCTTGTGTACTTTGTGTGCAATATTTGTGGTATGCAACTTGCAATGCTCAGTTGTTTTTTTTTTTTTTTAATTGAAAATGCTCTTGGATATTGTTCTTCTTATTTCTAAAGTATATATTCAATGCCACTCGTTTGGCTTGGAGCTGTTGGATATTTAAAAAGACATGGGGTACAATCATCCATCAACCCTGGAATTTCACTTTCAAATCTGGAATTTGTATTGGATATTGTACTGGAATGACAGGGTGAAAATGAATAAATCTGATTAAAAATTGATTCAAGTTTATTTTTCTCCCTGAGATTTAGTGGAGGATAATGGCATGCGCTTTCTATTATTGTTTCATGAATGCATACAACTTTTGACAATGCAGACTTTGGAATATCTAGTGAAATATTTCAGAAATATGTGTTCAGTGCTACCTTCAGCTCACGACCTATTATTGCTCAGGTAGATTGGTTAGTTATACACATGCTCCGAGAATGCTCCTTAATTTATGTAGAGCATTGGACTATGACTTTGTTTCTTTTATGAAAATTGAAATTAATTTGTCTTTGTGCAGATACGAACTCCAAGCAGATCATTCATTGCTTGAGGAATACCATTTCTCATATGATGCCCATTGGTTTGAAAGCCAGATCCAGTGGTACCTCAAATATTGGCTTGGGCAAAGAGAAGCTGGTTATGTCGGTGAAGATGAGACATGGAAGTGTAACTTCTGTTCTTTCTCAGCTGTGTGTCCTCTGATGCAGCATCAGACACAAGAACAAAGAAACAAATGACTGTTTGCCCACGACACTCTTTTCGTGCGTGTGCACGAGGAAGATTCCACATGTCTATTTGGCTGTTTACAACTTTTCCTGCTTACTCTTCATGAAGTGGAATGGAATGGAAAATCATCCACCACACCACTTGAAAATACGGAATTCATTTTTATTTGGAATTGGATATTCGTACTTCCATGGTTGTATTTATTTTTCTTCTTTTGTAGATTTTCAGAGAGGAGTCAGATATGGAAGACTGGGTCATTCTTCGTAGGTTGTTCAAATAGGAAATCGTGTTCTCTTTATTCTTTGGAAAAAGTTTATAAAAGGATGCAACTACGGATGCACCTCAAAAATCCATCGAAAAAGGTAGTTTTAATGTTGAAAAACACTTTGACCGTTTCCTTGTTTCAGAGGCTTGGGAAAGAGTCTTCCCTTTGGTTAAGGTTAATGCTCTTACCAAGCTTTCCTCTAACCATTTGCTTATTTATCTTCATACTTAGGAAGTTTTATCTGGGCCTAAGCTTTTTCGTTTTGATATAAACTAGCTGGAGGAGCCTGAGGTTATTGAAATCATCAAACAAACATGGGCCAACAGTTATGTTTTGGGCAGTTTCGGCTTTTGTCTTCATAAAGAGTTGGTCTGCCTAAACCACAAACTCATCTCTTGGAAAAAAGAAAACCAATATCAGCTTAAGGGCAAGATTGAATATACTTTGATGGATTTAGAGATGCTTGAAAACGCAATATAGGAAAATCATAATCTCTTTGAAGAGATGATGGTTAACAAGAATGTTTTACTTAATAAGTTACATGATTACCTTAAGATGGAGGAAATTTATTGGAAATAGAGATCAAGAGTTAAATGGCTTAAGGAATGTGATAGGAACACCAAATTCTTTCATGTAATTGCAAATCTGAGAAGAAGGCAAAATGACATATCTGCCATGAGTTTACTTGGAGTATAAGAGGGTGACTATAAAACCCATGATGAAGCCATTATTAGATACTTTAAAAATGCCTTTTTAAGTAAAATTAATTTTGGATGGAGTTCCTTTTAAATCTTAGCCACCTTATTTGGTTTCAGATTTAGAGAGAGAAGTTACAATCGAATAAGCCAAATTGGCAGTTTTTGCTCTCCTGGGCTCTGATGGCTTTCCTCTCATTTTCTTTCAGTGATTTCGGAATTTGCTCAAGGATGATGTTGTTTTAATTGTTAAGGAATTCATGACTACTGGTAACGTGCTTAAAGGTATTAACTCAACATATATTTCTTTAATTCCAAAAAAAGATGTCATTGCTGATATTGGTGATATTAGGCCGATTAGCCTCTTATCTAGTTTGTACAAAATTATTGCTAAGATTTTAGCAAATAAACTTAAGTTGGTTCTTCCTTTTGTGATTTTTGATGAACAATTTGTCTTCATTACAGACCATATGATTACGGATAGCATTCTCAGTACCCCAAGAATGCATTCACTCTAAAAAACTATCAAAGAAACCAGGAGTGGTTATTAAATTAGATATGGAGAAAGCTTTTGATAGAGTTGAATGGTAAGTCCTTCATGAGATTATTAGAAGAATGAGGTTTGGTGGTAGATGGATTTCTTGGATTATGGGATGCCTCTCATCGGCCCATTTTTTGGTTCTTATTAATGGCTCTCCTAAAGGGGTTTTTCATGCTTCTAGGGGTATTAGGCAAGGAGACCCTTTATCTCCTTTTATACTTTATTCCAGTAGCAGAAGACTTCAATCTAATGCTCAAGAATATTGTGAATGCAGGTCTTCTATCAAGTTTCAATGTTTCTTCATCTGAGCCAACTATTTCTCATTTGTAATATGTAGATGATATCTTGATTTTTTGTGATGCAAAGCAAGAATAAATTTAGAATTTGAGTACTTTTCTCCTTTGCTGCTAGCTAGCTCTGGGTCTCAAAGTTAATTTTCATGAAACTTCGATTGTGGACATTTCTTACTCTAACAGCCTTATGGATTCGCTTGCTTATGTATTTGGCTGTAAAATTGATAAGTTTCCTCTTAAATACCTTGAGGTTTCTATCTCTAATTGTAAGCTCTCTCGAGCAATTTGGGACCCTCACATTTACATATATCAAGTTAAATTGGACTTTTAGAGGACTAAAACTTTATTTTTGGGTGGTCAAATCGACCTATGCAAATCTTCCCATCTATTTGATATTTATATTGTAGATTTCTAGTGAAGTCATCAAGCTAATTGAAGTATATATGCACAATTTCATCTAGGGTAATGTGGAGGATAATCACAGAAAAATCACTTGGTGACTTGGGACCAAGTTTGCATGCCCTCAAAACTAGAGGGATTGAGTATCAGAAAGTTAAAACTTATGAATTGGGCACTTTTATCCAAATGGTGGTGGAGAATTTTTCAGAACTCTTCACATCTTTAGACAGATATGTTGATTGCTAAGTATGACTTCGATCATCTTACCCATCAGATCAAAAAAAGTAGATGAGGTAAATTCACATCGCAGATTTGAAAAGATATCTATAACTACATAAATATTGTCTTCAGTAATATCATATGGTTAATTAGCAATGGAGAAAACATTTTCTTTTGGTTTAACAAATGGCTTCGTGATGCACCTCTATTTTCTATATTCCTTGACCTCTTCGTCAAAGTTGTTCAACTTGATACAAAACTTTCAGATCTGGTATCTTCTTCACCTTCTAATAGTATGGTCCGAAATATTGATTGCCTCTACAATAGGCTCTCGGATTTTGTCATTTCACAGCTGCAAAATCTCTTACATCAACTAGAACAAGTATATTTTTCTCCTAATTTTGAGGATATGATCATTTGGGAATCTGAAAATGATTGGTTTTTTCTGCTAAATATGTGTACATGCTTCTCTTTATGGATCGGGTACGTAACACTGATTCCACACTTGGTTGTATTTGGAAGTGGCCTATTTAAGTTAAAATCCAAGCTTTTCTATGGGGTGCTTACCAAGGAAAATACTTAACAGTGGATAATTTGCAAGGGAAGGGTATGCTTGATGTATAAAAATGATGAAGAATATGGTATTCATCTTTTCTTACACCATCCTTTTCTGCTATCTTATGGTATTAGGCTTTCTCCATGTTGGTCGTTTTTTTATGTTACCATTGAACCTCATTAGCATTATTAACCATCTTGTTGTGTCGAGATTACCAAAGAAAGGAGTTGTGATATGGAAAATCTTCAGAAGTATTGTTCCGTGACATATATGGGTAGAACAAAATAGGAGAACTTTTGATGGGGTTTCTCAAGTAAAAGATCGTATTTCACAATCTCTTTGGAATTGGTTCTCTTCCACACTTGAAGGTCGGGGAGTTCTTTGGACTGACATTTATGTCAATCTACAAAATTTTGCAAACTCTTTTTCATTCTCTGGCCGTCCCCTTAGAACTTGGATCTCACCTCCAGAAGATTGCCTCAACTTAACTTTGATGGTAGCTCCTTTGGAAATCCAGGCCCGACGGGTGTTGTGGGCTTCTTCGCTACAGTTTAGGAATGGTTCTTTTCTCTTACTTTGATCCATGTGGCTCTACGATTGCCAATCAAGCTGAATTAACTACCCTCATACAAGGCCTATAAATTATTATTGAGAAGGGATTTTATGGAAATATTATAAATGAAGGGGACTCCTTTAATGTTATTAAATGGTGTAGGAGAGAGCAAATGATCCCTTGGTCCTTATTTACCCTTTGGATTAAAATTCATGATCTTTGTGCTCTGCCAAATTTGAGAATTTCATTCGGCCACACCCTCCGAGAAGCTAACGATGCTACCGATGGCCTTGCTAAGAATGGACTTTCTCTTACCTCGATGCAAACTTCTAACTTTTGATTCCATCTTTGTAATCTCATGCTTTTGAAGCATCTTTTGAATAAAAGCTCATAATATTTGTAAAAAAAAAAAAATGCCACTCCATAGTTGTCTACTACCTACAAAGGGTAGAAATGTCATCAATCTTATAACGTAAGCTTTCTTTGCAATGAAAAGAAAAGCAAAAAAGAAAAGAAAGAAACCTGTAATAGGGGTAAAAAGGCTAAAAGTGCCAGTGTGCTATTGTGCCTACATATTAGAAAAGAAACACTGTAGCAACATTTTACATTGAAATGTGATTTGGTTTTGGATTCTCATAAATCCTTAGCATTTGAATTGACTTCTTAAAAAAATATGGTATAACCTCCTACTATGTTGTTAGTGTTTCTAAACATGCTTAAAAAAAATAAGTTGTAATTGTAACGTTTTTTCGAAAAACTATACAGTTATAATTTGAAGTACACATTTGCCGGAGGACAATAAAAAAGGATCACTACATGACACCTGAAAGCTTGCACTACATTATAATGTTACATTTAATGGGAGGAGCCTCTCAAACACCAACACACTTAATAATCTTCAACATATCTAGAAGAAAACAGAGTTTTCTTTGATTACAGCACTGACAATTTTTTGGAGTGAATCCTTCACAAAATTACCCATGAGATGAACTATTTATGCAGTTATGTGTACAAGTTTTGCTAGAAAAACTTCAAGAGAATAACAGAAAATATTACCACTCACCCAAGCTAGTTAAACCCCAAATTTAGAAAAGCAACAATTTTTTGTTGAGAGAATGTAATAAAATAGGAAAGTATATATAGTGTGTAACAAGATAGGAAAGTGTTGCATGTACCAAGATAGAAAAGTGTCAATTATACCATTTTGTCACTATTATGTATACAATGACAGAACCACCTTAATGTTTGTGTGAGTCAGAATTATCTTATCAAAAGTTCATTTCTCTCTCTTACCACTTATCCTTATTAATGTGTTATTAGCATCACTTTCGTGCTCCCACAATGTCCAAGTTTGAAGCAAAGATCTAGAAAAACATCCAAGGCAATGACTTGGTGAAGATACTAGCAACTTGATTTCTAGAATAAACTAGCCAAGTGACAAGTATCCAATAGCAACATTTTCATGCACAAAATGATAGTCTAACTCAATGCGCTTTGTCCTAATAAGAAAAACCTGATTAACTATCATATAGAAAGCATTGTTCTGGATGCTTCGAAAAATGCGATGCTTATATCGATTAAAATATTTAAACAAACATTAGACTCCAAACAAAGACCAGAGGACATCGCACTCGGGGCCAAATTCGCCCATGCATTCCATATTATAGAAACACAGGTTTTATATATGTATATACTGGGAACAGAACAATTTCAGAGGTTTAATCCTCTGTTACAATTTATATCAA